GAATACTGATGTTGAAAGATGTTCCTGCTAGTTCAAAATAAGCAATAGAGTACGCTCTCATGTTTGTTAAAAACAGGTCTAGAAGCGTCCAGGGGTGATACTGTTCTGACGGGTGGAGGATTACAGGTGTTGGGATTTTTGCATTTGCTGATGGACATTTAACCATTTCCTACATGAAAGGTCTTTTTGTTGTAATAGCCATAGCTAAGTCCACGGAGCATGTTACTCGTTGTTAGATGTTTGTTCTTTAGGATTGGTTGTGAGCAATCCGGGAACAACAGTCTGGAAACTTCATGCTTAAGCAAGGAGCAGAGGGCCTGGATGGCGGCATCTGGCTATTGTCTTTAAATAATTACCAGAATAGCCACCTGGTAGTTCAGTTTCAACATTCAAGAATGTGTAAGCAGTCTTTTGTTGGTTTTGTCCTCCGGTTGTTAACTGATTAACTTCCAACCTCTTCCTTTCACCCTCTAGCCTGCTGTAATTTAGGACATTTCAGAAATTTCTCGTCATTAGCAAAATTCAACCTTACTTCAGATTGCTTCCTATGAGAATGATAAAATCAAAAATTTTTTTAACTAAATGGAGTTTAGAGGTCATCAAGAAGTGATAATCCCCCATACTTAAGCTTCCATACTGGGTCAACCCTCATGAAAATCTTGAAAAATAGAGGCTAGGTCTATTTCACAAGGAAGAAACCTTCCTCCAGAAGAGAGATTCACCTAAGGTCACTCTAATAACTGACTGGATGACCACGGTCTGGGATGCAGGACTCTGGGTTCCAGTCCACTGACCAGATGCCTCAGCCTGTCATGGATGCAGAGAAGGGTGTTTCATAATGATACAGGTCTGTCTTTGCAATAGTTTGCACTAATGATCATGTGCACCATGAATTAAGCTTTAGCAATAGCAGCTGGCAACGTGATAAAGTGGAAAGGCTTTATCGCATTGCTTCAGGGCCAGACTCCTCGGATCTGGATCTAGGTTCTGACATGCAGCAGCAGCTGCTCTGTGGCCAGGAAAGTTAACCTCATGGAACCTTGACTTACGTGTCAGGTTCCAAGATGCAACCAAATACACTGACCTCTGTGGTTTTTGAAAAAAATAAATAAATCTGTGTGAACACATGTAAAATGCCTAGATTCCAATAAATGGTAGCCATGACACAGTCACTAAAAATATTTCAATCTCCAAGTTGTATTAATATTCATTTAATGCCTTTATTACCTGTTAAGTTCCTACCACGTGTCGGAGACGAGGGCAATAGTTCATTCTCTGAACTAGAGTAGGTGTTTCAGTTGAACAAAACCTTACAGGCAATATAAGGGTTACTACAGATCATACTAGCAGCCATTATTCATGAGGCACTAATGACTTGGCTCCTTGTCAGAGATGGGCTTTACATATTATTACCTCATAGTCTACGGCCATGCCACCCTGAACGCACCTGATTTTGTCTGATCTCGGAAGCCAAGCAGGGTCAGGCCTGGTTAGTACTTGGATGGGAGACAACCTAGGAAGACCAGGTGCTGTAGGCGTAAAAAATAAAAAATAAGGGATTGTAAGCTGACAAGGTCCTTGCAATCTATGAGGTCAACCAAGGGTTGTCTCACCTAAAATAAATTTAAAAAACAGTACTAAGTCTGACGCAAAAAGTAACTATAAATAAAGACTAATGACTAAGACAAAAATTTTAATTACTTCCAAAAAGTTACCTAACCTTGACCAATGCAAGTCCTAACTTGGAATAAAAAAAGCAGTAAAAATTTCAAAGCATATAAAAGGCAGCAAGTTCCTCAATAATGCTTGATACAATATCCTGTTCTAATGTGTAAAGCTTACTAGGCTAGCAGATAAAAAAACAATTACAGATCATCTTTACTCACAAATATAGATGGCATATCATAATAAACAAATCTCAATAATAATTCATTTTAAAATCTTAACAAGCCTAACATGAACAGCAGGTTACAGAAAATACAACAAATAACAGTAAGACGAGACTGTAAGAGGAACTCAAGTCTCATACAACAGAGAGAGAAGTGTTACCATGCTCATCGCATACACAGGAAAAATTGTGCTTTACACCAATGAAGCCGATGAAGTCCACAAACCCAGTGATTGCTGGTTAAGAACTTAAAATGAGGGCAGGAGGCTGACAGAGAACATTTCTTTCTCTTTTCCCTCTTCAAGCTTATTTTTTAAAACTGATTTGATCATTAACATTTTAAAATTAATTACTATATGAAATGCTTCCCATTCCCTTAAAAAGAGAAGTTAAATACCTTCACATCATTCTTATTTAACAAATTTTAAAATGCTGATTAAAGTTATATAAGGGAAAAATAAGCAAGCTTGGTATCATTATTGGCAGATGTTAACATCTAAAAAAAAGGGAAAAAAATCTAAAATAAGTCAAGAATCTCCATCAGAAAATTATTAGTTTATAAAAACTGTAGGATGTTAAAACTTTTATTAAAAAAACTGCATCCCTATTTCAGAAGCACCACAGAAAGATCAACAAAATCAGGTAAGCCCTTTTCCAGTAACTAAAAGCATTTAATAAGAGGTATTAATCTCTCCATTAGTTTTTTTTTTTTAAGTATACAATTACAGTTTTTAAAAAACAACGAAAGTCTCTGAAGAACATTTTATAGAGCTTGATAAAATGCTGGTGAAATTCATTTTACAGAATGAGGGCGAGCCCACACTTGAACTCAGAGAGCCCACGTCAGGGAGTAGACTCTAAAAAGCCATCACTCCTCACTTGCCATGGGCCTCCCTCCTTCCGCCTTTATTTACAGCACTCATAACTGCACGTTACTTCTCGATTCTGTTGACTGTCGGTCTCCTCCACGGGAATGTCGTCTCCATGAGGGCAGGTATCTGTTTTGCCACTCTCATGCCCACAGTGCCGAGAGCGGCCTGCCGTACACAATGTGCTCAGGATCTGCTGAATGAAGGAATTGAACATTCTAAGGAAACAAGTACTTGCTCCCATCCTCAAACAGGTATAGTATATAAAATTTATAACAGCATAACTTATAATTACAAAAACCAGAACCCACATGCCCAGAGACTAACCAAATTAGCATATAATGACTCCATAAATGATGAATAGCCATTAACCATTAAAAATTCAGTCAAAACATTTACAGGTTAAGTGAAGAAACATAATAGCAACATTTATAGCATGGATAAAATGTTTTGTGGTGCTTGCCCATTCAGAACTAAACTGTAGCTCAAAAAAAGCTTGTATAAGTACCGAAGTATTAATAAAAGAATCATTAGATTCTTGAATAACTACTTTTTCTTAAGTTACTGACACTCATAATTTTCAAATATTCAATCAGACTGCAATATTTTGGGGGAAAAAAAAAAGCGGCTACTGTTTCAGTGAAGGGGAAGGGTGATTAATGGTTTTTTTTACAAAGACAAAAAATGTAATAAAGTTGAACAACTGAAACGTCCTTAGTCATTGCAAAGCAGCATTTTTCATTTTAAAAATCAAATCCACTGTGATATAATTTACATACAATAAGATATACCCATTTAAGAGAATACCCCTGGTCCACTCTGAGGTGGCCCACTGAGGAGCAGTGTGGGGCAAGTTGGCATCTGCAGGATGCTGGGCCAAGAGCCCACCTCCTATGGTCCTCACAGGTGAGAGGGGTACCGGCTCCTCACCCCGTCCTGCCTGGCAGCAAGAACACGCTTTACCCCTCTCAGCAAGGCCATGTACACGGAGCCTCATGTGACAGCTGCTGGGGTGCCAGGCCCTTGATGGCTAGGCCTCATCAGCCTATGGGCCAGGCATCACAGAACTGGGGGCAGCCAAAGCCATGGACAGGCGCCTGCTCGGGATTCCATGAAGGTCCGTGGGCAATGTGGACTTTAGCATCAGGCCTGGGTTACCTACAGCCTTGCATGTCCCTCTAACCCTCCCTGAGCCTGTTTCCTCACTGCGCCTGAGGGGAAGATACCTTTGTAAGACAAAGGGGTAAATTAAATGAGACAATCCATGGGAAGCCACATGTGGGAACTCCCTTCCTACCAGCCATAACTGTCCTAGCTGTCTCCGTGGACACCTGCCATTGAGGACTGTCTCCTGGCTGGCACATTCATACCCTCTCTGGCTCTGAAAGGCACGACCAAAACAGGCAGTTGTGGTAAAGCACCTTTACATGGACAGCTCCAAAGGAACCTTTTGCCCACGTTCAACATGCAGCGTCTCTCGGCAGCAGCGGGCTGCAGATTCCTCATGTTTTCTGAGCAGGGCCCAGTGGGACAAAGGCACACTGTCATAGCACTACTCGACCACCCTTGGGTCACAGTGGCTGCCAGTCCCACCTGAAATACCACTAAGAAGGTGTAAAGATCCACGCCTGCTCGGTCGCTTTATCTTCCGCACCTGAAAACAGCCTGTCAGTCGCCCCTCAACCAGGTCACAGAACAGCAGGAGACATTCCTTTGGCGAAGAAGGACACGGTCTTGTCCTGTATTTTGTACTGGTAAGTGAGGCTCCGATCCCGCTGGGCCGGGTGCCACAGTGGTCTCCTCCACAGGATCCTCAGCTACAGGGACAGGGAGAGAGTGACAGAGGAATGCTCCCTGCACGTGCCTTCTCCGCCGGACACCCCCTGCTCCCCCGTGACGTTCAACTGAGGCCTGAGACCACTGTCACAGGTGCCATGCAGTAATGGGCCTGACTTCCAAAACAGAGCTATTACCAACTAACTGAAAACAAAGACTTCCCCTCCATTATAATAGTGAATTTGCTCTTACAGAAAACGTGAAACAGAAAGAAAAGGAAGAAAGAGTCAGCAGAGGAAAACCGTTTACATATTCCCCTTGGTCTCTCTCCTACGCATGGTTTAAGTATTCGTTGGCTGGACAAATTTTGAAAATCAACACGTTAGAACATGTACATTCAATTCAGAGGCTTGGGAAGGCTGGACGTTTATTTGATGATGTCTCGGCTGCCTAGAAGGCTCGGGGGAACTGACTGGCTTCAGAGCCCGGCCACAAGCTGCCCAGCAGAACCTTCTCCTCATGCTGTGCTCCACGCATTGCCGACACAGCGTTTCTGTGTTGCTCTACTGTCCACACGGGGCTCTGAATGGCTCTGGGCCAGAACTCCCACCCACCCATAACGGCCAGAACTCCCACCCACCCGTTACGGCCAGAACTCCCACCCACCCGTAACGGCTCAAGAGTGGTCACCATGAAGTTAACCTGGAGGCTGTGGTGGACGCTTTGGGGTGAATCCAGAGAGGTTTCAGAAGGCAGAGAATCAAAACAGCCCCTTGGGAAGGGTAGACCTGACCTCCCTCCATCCCACGGTGGGACCCTCAGCTTCTGCCTGCATCCTTCAAACACCATGTAGAAGCAGCAGTGGGGCAGCAGCTCCCCGTGCCATGGGCAAGGCCTCCCCAAGTCCCTGTTTTAAAAGGAGCAGTGTGGACCTGAATACAAAGCCTGCTGTAGCCCTGCAGAGGGGTTCTGCTGCTTAACAGTGGGGCCCTGCCTTTTACCCCAGACAGCAGCCTCCTCTTCAGGAGCTCCACTTTGGTCACAAATGGGACCCGCATGGGAAACCCACACCAGTGCACGGCGCTAAGCACCCGCTGGAGCGGACTCTGCCATGCACTCACACGACTTCCGAGGCAGCCAACACCCCCAGCCCAACACCGCCCCTCGCGCCGTCTATACTCGGAGGCAGGCAGCCTGTTGCCCGGCGGGTCCCAGCCTCCACACACCTGCCCATGCACGTCCTTGCAGAAGCCAGTGGCCAGGCCTTCGGCCCGCAGGATCAGGTGGCTCTGGTGACTAAGGCCATTCAACAGGATGTCGTTCTCCTCATCCTCAGTGTCTCTGCTGTCGTGCACAAGGGCCACTATGTTTCCCTGAAACAGAGATACAAGATGAAATCCTGCTCCCAACTGGACGGGACAGCGGAAGCCGGCGGCGGTGGCTTCTCAGTGCCTCTCCCAGATCAGCCTCCCTGCAGCTGCTGCCACCATCCCCTTTACGGGAAGAACCCTTGCCTGCACCCAGGCCCTTAGTTCCAAACATCTGCAAGACAGTTTCACCAGTACCTCCAACCTGTACTCCAGCTCAAGTCACCTAAAGCCAAGCTCAGCCTGTGGTCCTTTTTAACGTTAAAAAGTGCCACCACTCTGCCAGGCACCAATCACCCAGAGCGCTTACTGTGTGCCAGACCTGCAGCGGGGACAAGTGACGTGGGCCCTAGAGAGACAGATACTGACAACACAGGGTACAAAGCCAGGAGAGAGGGAAGCATGGGGTGCTGGGGACACATGAAGAACTCGCATCCTGTCTAGCCCAGAGGAGAGGGTCAGGGGCTGGGCACGCCTGGGCTGGCGAGTAGGAGCTGGCCATGCAAAAATGGAAGGAAGATCCACCCCGTCAAAGGGGACGTCGTGAATAGGAAGTCTTTTCATGGGAATACTGTCCCGTTGTTTAAATGAATGAAGCGAATCTGCGTGCTCTGTGATTGGCCAATGGACACCAACACTTCCTGCCTGTTATTCAATGAAAAAAAGCGCCCCGAACAGCGTGGACGAGAAATTACCAGTAACGTGCAGAACAGCGCAGGGAAACGAGCACACATACGAATGTTCTTAACTGCGCAGACTCTCCAGGATGCACATGGGAGAGAGGGAGACAATTACCTTTTGCCAAAGTACCCTTTATACTGTTTATTTCCCTTTTTCCTTTTTAAAACCATTCCCAAGTTTTACCTTTTCAACTGAAAGAAATAATTTTACAAAAAGAGGGCGGCGCTGGGCCTCAGAGCCAGCTGAGCTGCAGGAGCTTTCACTGCCGCCTCCCACCCGCTGACCGGTGTCCTCCAAGCCCCTTCCATTTCCGGCCCCCTGCACTCTCCACAGCACCCTGCTTCCTGCCCCATGGCTGCAGCCAGGACAGCTCCGAAGGTCCCTGGACAGAGCTTCCGGACGGGGTCTTGCACACAGCTGACACTCCTCTGTCCCTGCTGTGCCTCAGCCCAACCACACTGTACCAATGTCTGCAGTTCCTACTGAAGAGTGGCCACTGTGGGCCAGATGCTGTGCTGGCATGTCACCGACTTCACCTCACTCACCTCTTGCAGTCAGGCTCCTGTAAGGCAGGAACCACAGCCATTTCTATTTCATAGATTGGTCTACTGCTATTGTTAAAATCTCTATTATGGAAGAATCTCTTTTTTTGCCTCATAATTTGACAATAGAGGACACATCCTATACTTGTATTGCATCTTACAATTTTTGAAGCAATTTATACCCATTATCCCAACTGATCTTCTAAACACACTCAGAACAATAATGACTTGTCCCAGGACACACAGGCAATGTGGCAGAGCTGGGATTGCCACAGTACCACATATGACCAGCCTATTAAAGACAGTGCTAGTCACCCCTTGAATTTTCCAGGCTTTATTTTTAAGCAACAGGAAGTAGAGGTGAGCAGGGTGGGTAGACCAAACGGTTTCTGGGCCTGCCACGGTGAAGCCCAAACCCCAAGCAATTAAACCAAAAAGATCATCACAAGCAAATGAGGTCTGGACCTGTCTAGGCCCTGAGAGGCCCCAGGCAGAAGCACAAAGAGCAGGCCCATTGGTACCTGAGAGGCCCTGGGAAGAAGCACAGAGGGCAGGCCCATTGATACCTGTAGTTTCCAGCACACGGTGGCTCTGCAGTAGTGGATGAAGTCCAGCACGGCCACCGCCCCCATGCCCAGGCTCAGCAGCACACTGAGGTCGTCCACCAGCAGCACCGGGCACCTCCAGGCAGCCTCCCCATTGTCCTCGGGCCTCAGAGCCTCCTGCACAAACTCATACAGTGGCCGCAGGTTCCCAGCACTGGCCTCCCTGGGACACAGAACCAAAGTCAACAGAGAGTTCACTCTCTCTCAGATGTTTATCTGGAACTGAGTAGCTGGGGGAGGCAAAGAACTGGATCCTAGTCCTTGGCACCACGGGCTCCATGACTAGTTGGCCAGAAAAGGCGTGCCCACGCACATGGGCACCGTGTACTTCAGTTCAAATACTCCTGGAGGCCTACCAGGAACAAAGCACTGTGCGACAAACGGGACACAAAGCCAGCCAGCCTCCCAGGCCTACAAGAGACACCACGCGGCCTCTCCGTCCAAGAGCTTAAGGCACCAGGGAGATAAAGTTGGATCGGACAGACAGGAAGCACCTTCCCAGGTCATCAGAATTGGGTATAAAAAGCTAAAGAGCACTTTGGGCGTCCTGCTGGTAAGGAACACTGGTCCAAGAGCTGCTGGTGGATGTGACAGAGTCAACCTGTTTCTGAACGAGCTGGCCCAGCTACCTCTGTCTCCCCAGCGCCTCTCCTCGGCAGTCACTTCCCAGCAACGGACAGCAGCTCAGAAAGCGCCGGAGCACAGGGCCCAGGCGCCGGCCCCTCTGCCCCATGCTCCACGCCCACTAACCATCGGCAAGGACAACAACCCCACAAACTGGGATCAGGTGTGACCAGGCCCATTGTTCTGACACAGACACCAGGTTCAGAGATGCGAAGGGCTGTGTGAGATCACGTGCACAGGGTCGGGGCACATGGCCTGCCTTCTGACCCGGCCGCACATTAAGGCCGAGTCTGAGGGGGTGCAGCGGGGAGAGTTCCCGTATGGACACCACTGGGGCAGAGGAAGAACAGCGGCCAGGTGGCGAGTCTGCACGGCCAGGTGCGGGGTCTGCACAGAGCTGTTTATAGCTGATGTTCACAAAGGAGGAGAAGCAGGAAATCCAATCCCAAAAAACAAAGCAGCAGTCAACACTTTTTGTGAAAACGCCAACAGGAAATGTTTTAGGCTTGTGAGTGTGTTCTCTGTCTCAACTGCTCAACTCTGCTGTTGTTGTGCAAAACAGCCAGGGACAATATGTGAACAGATGAATGTGGCTACTCCAATAAAATTTTATTTACAAAACAGGCAGCTAGTCCTTGACCTGTTGTTTGCTGAGCCCCTGTATTAAAACAAAAACAGAAGAAAGATGTGTGCTAGGACTCTGAGTCAGGGTTGGAAAAACCAGCAAAGCACATCGTTCCGCCGTACGCTCAGCAAATAACGCTTCCTATAGCTTTTGGGTCAGCCATACGCCCTCTGGTCCTCGGTAAGAGCCAAGGGCTTCCTGAGAATACTGCCCCACACCAGGGACATGTCTGGCTCCTCAAGCTAGCTCTGCCCTCCCACACACCGACGAGAAGGAATCACATGACAACCCTGGTCTGGGCCCACCTACCAGGTGTGTGCTTCTGCGGTGGACTGCAGGCTGACTCACCTGAGGAACTGCAGGGGGTGTGGCTCCCCCTCGACCCGGAAGAAGACGTCCACCGAGGACTTGAGACCCTCGAAAAACACGAGCTGCCCGCGTTCCCGTGCCGTGGTCAGGCTGACACCCTAAACATGACAAAGAGAGTGAGCTACCATGCCTACTGGAGAACGCACCAGAACGGCTAGATAGACTGCGTTCCAAACTCTGCAAATGTGCACCTGTCTACCCTACGTACCAGGCTCATGTCTTGTGTCCCCAGGGTGTTCCCAATCCATAACCCCCATCTTGTTTTCAGATGTGCATTTACATTTAATTTTCACTTTTTTAAAAAAAAATTACATTCTTTTGCTTATGTTTATTTTTATGATTACCCAGTACAGGTTTTTAATACGCAATAGTAATATAGTTTCCTTTTCAAATACACATATTTATAAAACAGTAAGTAAATAACAACAATAAGACACTGGGCAAATGGCAGTCTCCGTTGCAGCAACTCAACTCTGTAGAGCAAAAGCAGCCTTAGACAATTCATAAACAGGAGTGACTGTATTTCCATAAAACTTTATTTACAAAACACAGAGGACACAAACTCTCAGACCCCTGCTCTAAGCAGAACTTCTTAAATATGGTTCCTCATGAACTAGCCAATTAAGAATCTCTTGTGACACCTGACTAACATGCAGATCACAGAGCCCCACTGCACACCTCCAGAAGCTTTGGGGGCAGGGCCCAAGAATCCATGCTTGAAGAAACACCCAGGGATAGTGACGCAATCTAAATGTGTAACTACTGCTCTGTCTGTGCAGAAACAGGTGATGTGCCCCTAGACCAGGTCTCCATTGCACATTCAATCACCAGTGTTCTCCGCTATGCAATGCCATTAACGACAGCTGCCCCTGGCAGAGAAAGACTCCTGATCATCACCTCTGCTGTTGCTCACCGCCATCCTACTGATGTAGGCGCGAGAATGCACCAGAGTACGGAAGCTCACCCTCTAAGTCTTCTCATGCCCAGTACTGTGCATGCCACTCCTGCCACGCTGATGATTCCAAGGTAAAAAAAAAGAAAGAGCCAATCTGGACATGAGAGTACACAGCTTTCTCATCCAGAAGCACAGACACTAAGGCCACAGAGAGACAGGCTTCGCAGACGTGGAATGCAACATGTGATCGACATGACTGCTCTCTCTGAACTCATGCTGACCTCTAACACAGGAACTTCCTGGTCTGCAGCAGATGGGAAAGGGTCTACCCTTCTCCTACCCTCTCATTTGTTTCTCCTCATCAGAAAACAGGCAGTGACTTGGCCCAATAGTAAGACTGGCTTGTCAAAGATCAGAGCTGATGGCCAGGTTCTCTCCCGCTCTGAGGCTAACCTAGCAAAATCTCAGTAAGTCTACCTGATCAAAGGTCACAGATAATGGCCCAGGTGACGCCAAGAGGTTCACCAGCCTCTTGGCTGTCACATTTTTGCCTGCCTTCATCTGATAAGGGGCAGGTAACAAAAGCGCCTTTCCCCACAGTTGGGTCCTAAGCCCTAGACTTAGGGAGAGGCCATGGGAGCCACTCATCTTGGTGGCAGACCACGCTGTGGTCTCCACTCCAGCAGGACCAAGACTAAAGCCCACGCTAAGAATAAAATGTGAACTGGTCCAGAATCAGCAGGGATGGGTTTAATTAATTAACAACAGACCTGGTTCTACAAACTTTAAGTTACTAAAACATGCAGAGATGCTGCCTTAGCCCTTCAAATAGGGGTTCGAGATCCCATGAGTCCCTCAGTCCATCCCTTGCTAAGTTCTCTGCAACCCAAATAGGGAAGCCCAGCCTCAGAGCACACTCACACGTGCTTGACACACACTCAGGAACCTCACCACAGAGGTCTGAAATATTTACCAGCTTCTGTCCCACGATATTGTAGTGGCTGAAAGACTGGATGAGTGCCACAAAACAGACTTTACAATTAGCTGGAAAACAAAATAAATTGATTTTAATAATATCTCTATTTACAATCAGTCTCACATACTTTATACCTCTGGAAACAAAAGCATTGTGGCAGGTCTCAAGACCTAGAGGCCATGCAACCTGACTCACTCAATTTGATTTTAAGCTGCAATTTTCTTCCTATCTAATAATTATACCTTATTTCATTGATTCTAAGATCTACTTCTGTTAGATGTATTACTAGGTACCTTATTTATCTCTATTGTAAGTAAAGTGTGGTCTTTAAAAAATTATATTTTCTTGTTTGGCATTGGTGTACAGGAGTACAATTAATTTTTTAAACTGGTCTAACAGGATATAAATGAAACACAAAGAGCCTCTAGCTACCTTACTGAACATAATTAATTCTAATAATTTGCCTGTAGACTCTCCTGCTCTTTCTATGCTGACAATAACATCATCTGGAAAAGAAAACTTCCAAAGCTTTTTATGATCATGACTAAGAATGCCAAACGTCTACCCTCTATCTTGGCCTGGCTCAGTAGGGGCTCAAGGAGAATGGGTTGATAAATAAGTCTTTTTTCATTTGGCTGTTTTCTTCTTCTAACCTATTCCCATATGTAAATTGTAATGGCCATGCAGGTTTCTTTCTTGTGTTCTTTAGGAAGCATCTACCACCAGGGCAAAGTGTTGACGGGTTGAGTGCCCAGAGACGCTCAAGATACACAAGGACGGAGAAGCGAGTAAACAGGAGGCCACATAAGAACCACAGCGAGGCAGGACCTGCGTGGTGGGTAGAGAAGGGGAAGGCAGGATGTGGATACGGTGAGCACATGCCACTCTCTGGCAGGGCTGGGTAGGGAACAAGATGGTACAGTAATCTGTTACTTAAACAGCCATCTGGCTACCCAGACACCAAAGCCCTGGCTAGTAAATACTATTCCCATCACTTCCTGAAATAGGATTTTTTTAAACCTTAGATGTCTTTTTCTATAGCATCAATGAGTCCCTTACCTTTGAGGTAGAAGGAAAGAAAGTGGTGCACAAGGAAACTGCCATCTGTCTTGGCATCACAGAGTAGAGTCAATTTCCCCTAAAAGTTAAGAGGAACACAAAAAGGTGAATTAGACTCCCTGGAAAAAGGTGAGCTGACTGTATAAATCTAGTTAAACCTGTCCACCCCTGTTTCTACACCTGGATTTGTGTATATTTATATTACATATGTAGTATCTACAGATACACGCACGACACACACACACACACACACACACCATGTCCACCCGTTTCTACACCTAGATTTGTGTATATTTATATTACATATGTAATATCTACAGATACACACACGATACACACACACACACACACACACACACACAACACGCAACACACACACACACACACACACACACCACACACACACAGACAGCTTTAAAAAAAAGTCAAATTAAGGTAAAAAACAAACAAAAACAAAGTGATCAGTATTAAGTCACTCACTATGGGCAAGCATATCTCAGCTTCCACTTTCCCAAAGCAAAACAGAGAATAAAATTCCTTCTCTTTCTCACTGCTCACCGAGTAACTCAGGGACCAGGCTTGGGGAGAATTAGATACTGCACAAAGGGAAGAAGATACTGGAAAAGAGGGAATGAATGGTTGTTGACAGAGACCTCCAAGAACAAAGTTCTCCTCCCAGTGGCCTTGGACACTGCTTCAGGCAGAGCTCTGATCATGGAGAGCCCTGGAAAGACCTCCAAAAATTGTCTCTGCGGTGCTTGGCTGCCCAGCTCCAGCCACCTCTAGTCAGTGACAGGGAAGATCAGGATCAGGTGGTATCAGACACACCACCTCTGTGCTGTTGTGACTTTTTTCCACTTAAGAACATGAATGATCACACTATCAGATCTTGAGTGTTACCCCTCAGTGCTGTCATTTCCTGGTGCCAACTGTGATCTCTCCATTCCCTCATAGTGGCCCTGAGCTGAAGACTTTGGTGGTGCCAGTACTAAATAGCAAGGTAGCAAGTGCCATCTGCAGGCTTGAGCAGACAAGAACAGCTGGGCAACTATAATCCACAAGGATCTATTCAAAGCTACAATTTGCCTGCCACTATAGGATCATAAAAAGGCTTTATACACGTGGTGTCGTGGCTGCCTGGAGGAGCTTACCATTTCTTTAGAAAGACAAAGGTTATGAAATAAACTAGATACGTTCCTGGGATAGTGAAAAATCTCGAGGTGTCCCACAGTGCGGGAAGGAGGATGACGAAAACAGAGTAGCGAGGCTGTGCTGATGAAGGCGGACTTGGTACAAAGTTCGCTGACAGCAGCTTGGAAGAGCACTATTAGAGACCATGAGAAAGAGGAGCGGCAACGTTCATGGCGACCTGCCGAGCGCTCCCGGGCCAAAGGGAGACTCAGGGCGGTTAAGAAGCTGGTCCCATGCGAAAGGTGGGGGAATCAAATTTTACCCAACTTCCTCTGAGCGCTGTGACTCCCACGCCAGTGAGCAAGCACAGAGCTCCCCAGTACACGTCCGAGAACGTAAGCCCATCCAACGTCGGACATGCTTCCAGGGACCTTTCATGGGCACACACGGCCTTTCAGAAAACGCGCGGAGGTCCAGGAGCCCACCTTCTGCCGGTCCTGGTGTCCAGCCCAAGCCCTGGGTCGGCCCTCCCTGAACTACAACTCCCAGGAACCCTCATGCCTACGGACGTCGCGTCTTTCCTACGGCAGATATGCGCTGCACTCGGGGACGCTTTCTTCCGCTACTCTCTGGGCCCCCGCCTCCTTCCCGACTGCGGGACCGATTACCTGGTCCACCCTGTCAGGGGTGATGTTGAGAAGGTTATTAAGTTCTGGGAACATTCCGAGCCTTAGGGACGAGAGGCCTGGACGGGGAGCTAAAATTGCCGCGGAGGCGACGGACGATGGAGAACAACACACGGCAATCACCACCACCACGCGGAAGGAGCGCGCACGCGCAACGCGAGTTCTGGGCGCCCGCGGCATCCAATCAGGCGGGAGCTTCAACCGGGGCCGCTTCCGGCGCGCGCTACCACGCATTTCCGGCGGCGTTGGTGGGGAACGCTCGGCCCGGCGGCTGCTTGCGGCTGCAGGATCCGCTGCTGCGCGGTTCTGCGATGTCTGGGTCCTCTCAGTGGCCCGCAAGGCCCCACGTGACCCGGTCTCTCTCTCTCTCTCTCTCTCTCTCTCTCTCTCTCTCTCTCTCTCTCTCTCTCTCTCTCTCTCTCCTCTTTCCCATTGCCTCAACCAACACCCACCTCTTCGCAGGTGTTCAAACATCCAGAAGCACGAACAGCATCTCTTGCTCAGCGCACACCAGGCATTTGGGATATATATGACCAGTGAGACATTACATCACAAGACTGCAGGCCCCCAGTGGTCCTTAGACTCATTTGTGAGTGTTTTAGTTAGTTAATTAATTCATATTAATTGTGACTCTCTTTCTTCCTTCCTCTCTCTTCTCTCCTCTCTCCCCATTCCCTTCTCTCTCTCCCCCAGCAGAAAACAAACAAAAAAACCCACGAAGTTACATATTGAAAACAAATGAAAAAAATCAAAAGCAGGATAAGGGAGTAAGAATGGGATGGGATAGGTTTCAAAATTAAAGAGGTTGTTAGGGCTGGCCTACTGAAAAATTGTGATTGAAACACACCTCGTATGTTGTCCCTTTGCATTTGTTGCCCCTTTCTGGAAGATATTTTCGCTGATGAAAAAAATCCCCTGCTTCCTTCAGATAATTGCTCAGTTGTCACATTATCAGTGAAGACTTCCCTGAGCACGCTATTTAAATCACAAACCTCCCCTTCCTCAACGCTTCTTATCCTTTTCCCCTGGTTTTATTTTTTCCATAGCATTTATATCTAGTATACCATATGTAGTTCTGTTCTAGCCTAATCAGCCTCAGATCGCCAGGGACAAACCTGCAACGACAAAGTCAAGTTTATTGACTCATGACAATGAAGGAGATTGCGCAGCAGTGGAGCCCTGGGGCCCATCGCCAAGCAAAGAAAAGAGCAGTTTTAGAATTTGGGGAAAGATGGAGCTCAGGAGAAATTTAAATAAAGCAGTGTTTCAGTAGGCTCAAACCAGAGTATAGCTATGTGTAAAGGGGTCAGTACTTGGCCTGGGCTGCAAAGTGGACCCAGATTTTCTGTAGAAACTGCAAGACAGGTGTGGAATGTAGTCACGTGAAACTGTAGCCATGGAAAATCGAGGCTGCCTCTCTGTGTCAAAGTGACTTGGATCCTCCAACCCAGAAGGGGATGTTTCACACTTACTGATAAGTGAGAAAGAGAAAAGAAGCCCGCCTCATCCAAGAGATGGCCTGGCACTCAGCTAGATTAGGTCTTGGTGTTATCCTGTTGAGCATAAACAGTTTCCCAAAACATTAACATCAAACTGATTGTGATGGCTGAAGACAGAACTAGACCACTCCGTGTTGATGATGAAAAGCAGGACAGGTTTTTACAGTCTGAGCTAATTTTTCCTTTCTTGGTTTCCTTATTTATTTGAATCTTTGTACTAGAAGGTAGGAGGGCTGAGTTTTTGTCTGTTTTATTCGCTTCTATTTTCTCAATTTCTAAAACAGTGTAAGGCACATAGCAGGTGCTCATTTTGAAGGAATGAATTTATTTTCTGTAGTTGATTTTCTTTTCACTTTCTTGATGGTGTGAAAGTTTTTAATTTTGAAGCAAAAAAAATTTTTTTAATTTCGATGAAGTTCAATTTCTCTACTTTGTTCTTTGCTTATGCTTTGATGTCATATCTAAGGATCCATTGCAAAATCCAAGGTCATGAAGATTTATCCTGTTATCTTCTAAGAACTCTATAGTTTTAGCTCTTACAGTTAGCTCTTTGATCCATATTGAGTTAATTTTTGTATTCAGTGTAAGGTAAGGATCCTGATTAGCTGCGATTCTATTAGGGACTGTGTTGAATCTATAAACGAATTTGAAGAGTACTGCCATCTTAACAATGTTGTTTTCCAATCCATGAACATTGGATATTTCTACATATATGTAGTCTTCTTTAATTTCCTTCAACAATGTTTTGTAATTTTCAGATTATAAGTGTTGCCTTCTTGTTAAGTTTCTTCCTATGTACTGTGCTTTATTCTTTTTTATGCTATCGTGAAGAGAATTTTTTTCTTGATTTCATTTTTCAGGTTAGTCACTGCAAGTGCATAAAAATACAGTTGTGTATATTCATCTTGTATCCTGCAACTTTGCTGAATTGTTTATTCTAATAGTTTTTAGTGGGTTCCATAGGATTTCTGTATATGAACTTGTCATCCGTAAATAGAAATAGTTTTAATTCTTCCTTTCCAATCTGGAATTATTTAATTTTCTTTTCTAATTGCCCTAACTAGAACCTCCAATAAAATGTGGAATATGAGTGATGTGGCCAGACAGATTGTTTTCTTTTTGCTCTTAACAGGAAAGCATCCAGTTTTTCACCATTGAGTATAATGTTAACTGTGGTTTTTCATAAAGGCCCTTTATCAGGTTGATGAATTTCCCCTCTATTCCTAGTTTGTTTAGTCCTCTTATTCTTTCTAATGTTACTTTCTTCATCCCTGGGTAGCTTCTTTACATGCTGAATACTTTAGGGGGACCTTCTGCAGATCTCCAGGTTCTCTCTCCGTGCAACGATCTCTTCTCTGGTATCTTATCCTATCTCTGTGAAAAGCTCCATCTTTTCAACTCAGGGAGTGTTCCACCTTAGTTCCTCCTCCCTGTCTGGAAACTCACAGCAGTGAGCTTGGACAAACATAGGGCTCCCCTTGTTCTTTTTGCATTCCTCATGGGTCACTGTCCTTTGTTGCCTGGTGTCCAATGTCTCTAAAATATTTGGGTGGGGGGAGGGTTTTAAGTAAGAAAATACATCTGTGGACTATCTTTTGATGAACCAAAACTTAGTAAATTTTCCTTTAGTGTTTGAGCTCATCAAGTCTTCTTTAAGAAAGTCTTCCTTATCCCAAAGGCCATAAGGATATTTAGATTTTCTCCAAAAGTTGTAAGGTTTTTCTTTTCATATTTAAGCCTTCGATCCATCTGTAATGGATTTGTGTGTTTGGTGTGAAATAAGGGATACAGATCAATTTTGGAAGTAGCATGTTCCATTTAACCTGGCTATAATTTGATGTCATATTGAATCTTTAGATTTAGAAGAATAGGTATCTTTTTAACATAAACTATTGCCTTTTCTTGTATTTACCCATTTTCCTATCAACAGTGATGTTTAGTGTTAGTTTTTTCCTATTACAAAGAATACCTCTGTGAACATACTCAGCCATACCTTTTGGTATAGATGTGCAAGGTTTCTCTAAGGAATGTATCTTGAGTGGAATTGTTGAGTCCTAGGCAGAGATGAATTTGCCACAAAGCTAATAAAGCTAATTTTAAAAATAGTGTTGTATTACTTTTCTTAAAGAGAATTCCTCCTGGGCTTTGGGTAAGTCTCAGATCTCAAAATACCTGAATTTGCCCGTAATCATAGAACAAATCAACGTAAATGCAGAAAGGTCAAACGGAAAAAAGATTTGACACAGGAAACTGGATCAAAGGGTGGAAGGACCGGAGGAACAAAAGGGAAAAGGAGATTTTACACAGCAGTTAGGAAGCTGGTCCTGCCCCTTGACTGAAGCGCCCTCTTCTGTATTGAAAGGGGCTACAAGCTTGCAAACCACATCTTCCAGACTGCTTTGCCAGCTGGCTTCCAGCTATATTCTGCTAGGGAGACTCTGGAAGACGGGAAGAAGGAAGAAGCCTTTTTTTCTTTTTTTTTTTTTTTTGCTTCTGGTGACTCATCAGTGGTGGGTGACTGGGC